CATTCTCTACCCTCACTCTGTCTTCGGACATGTTTGCGTAAATGGAATTCATTGTTAAGTTGAGATTAAAGTCATTCCATTCGTTACTTCTAACATCTCCAAAACTTCTCTACTTTAAAGGGTTCTATGAACAACTTGAATGATTTTAATTTGGGGAAAAAATATAGAAAATAGAATGATTAGCATGTTATGTATTCTAATTATGATATTTATATTCTACCCAATACAATCGTTGAAGTGAATGAATTATTGGTGATTCTACACACAGTAGAGTCTCATGCTTCTGATTATGGGTCTACTAGATGTTTGATAAAATGCCACAATGGCTAATTTTTTCTTCATTGTTTTGTTTATTTTTTTATTTTATTTTTGTTGAGCAGCAGGATTGGATAATTATAAAATCTGATTTATCAATTTGTACATGTCAATTGTCCGGTGGATGAATCTCAGTTTCATTCCCTATGCATTTATGCTCTTTAATTTTTCTGTTTGTTGCATCTGTTATTTTTTTTGTTCCACAGATTGTTACTCTTTCGTACAGAGCTCTAGAGGTTTTATTAGGATCAACTCATTCTTAAGTTTACTTTCCTATAAAGTCATTGTGTTAGTGTTGATATGCTTGAATTATTTGTCATTTACTTTCCTTTTCCAGATTTCGTTCTATTTTTGAACTTGAAGGATCTAACGGTATTTTAAAGTCTTTAAATCTCATGCTTTGTTGATAATTGCCTTTGAAAGCATGGTTTTATTTGAAGTTCATTATCTTATGAAGCCATCTTTTGGATCCACCGATAGAATCATTGATGGGTTATTTTCCAGTACCATTGGACTCATCTCTTCATGTCCTGAGGATGTCATTTTTTTTTAGTTCCATCAGTTGAATTGTATTATTTTCATTGACAAACTAGTTTTTCATTTCTAAGGTTATTGCTTAATTGATTCCTTTCAGATCAAGGGAAAGGATTCCATAAAGATCTTATAAAGCTGATCTCAGATGCTGTGAACATCCCTGTGATCGCTAGTAGTGGTGCAGGAGCAGTTTGAACACTTCTCGGAGGTTTTCACTAAAACAAATGCATCTGCTGCTCTTGCTGTTGGCATTTTCAATCGGAAGGAGGTACAGTAATAAATCCTAAACTGTTATTATAAATATCATCAATATTGGCGATGCATCCTTATTTTCAAGACCTTGATACATTGATAGGTTTCAATATTTATATAAATTTCTCCAATTTATCTATATTCATATTTTTTAAGTTGTGATATATCCTTTTATTCGGTATTTTATTCCTTGATCCTGCTATATGTAATTGGTAATTACATATTATAAAAAAGAGCACTTGTTAAGCAAAGGCATAGAATTTAGAATGTGATTGGAGGATTGCCCGTTGGACCCTTTTCAGACATCGATCAGATGCTACTGTAGAACCTCATTTTGGGAATTGGTTTGGAATTATTCAGTATGCTATGAAATTTAGTACTCCCTCCGTCCCAAAATATTAGTCCCTTATTCCATTTTTCATTATCCCAAAATATTAGTCCCCTTTCAAAAATTAAGAACAAAAGTAATACGAATTTCCTATTTTACCCTTCTTTTAAATTCATTAATAACATAAAAAGTACAATTATGACAATTGATATTTCTCAAAAAAATATACTATCAAATGATAATTTTGAAAAATCAATTTTTTTAAAGTGCAATAACTATACTATCAAAAAAAGTTAGATTTCCCAAAAGAGACTATTATTTTGGGACGGAGGATGTATATTTTTGTAGCCCTTTGATTATCGTTGACATGCCGGTATGTAATTTGAGACAGTGTAGTACAAGGTTGAGATGTTTGTAAACGAAGGCATAAACGAAGTGTTGTTTTTGTGTTGTTTAGTTGACCTCAAAAGCATAGGAAACTTGTGCAGTGTACCCATATTGACTCCGCAACAATATGTTTCATTTCCATAAATTTTGGCAATTTTTTTTGTCATGTTTCTTTTTTGTTTTTGTGGGGGATGGGGGGTTTAGTTTGGACGGTGTAAAGTGATTAAGAATTTGTCAGTTACTTGTGAAATGTGCTCTTCATGGTTTCAGCGCTCATGACGTGTTGATTTTACCATTGACCTACTCACTGGTCCACAACTAGGAACTAAAATTATTCTGATTATGTAGGGAGATTCAACAGTTCACTTCTTAATCAGCAAGTGGATCATGCAAGTATATAAACTTTTTATTTTTTTGTCCTTCTAGCGTAGGGGTGGACACTCCCAATCCAATTACCTGAAAACTCTAGCTATGGATGGACGAACCGTGATCACATTGAAACCTATTGCTCTAAGGTGGCTTGGGCGACAAATGTCCGGGTATGGACTAGAGAGTTTAGTCTGAACTCTCAAATTGTGCTATGTCCGCTATACTTTAGAAGTTTAAATTTTGTTCACTTACAAACTCAATATTGAGTTTGATCTCCGGTCCATTCTTGGAATGGACAGAAGCCTAACTCAAAATTATTTCATCATTAAAATTTGTGATTGAAAGAGTTGCTGAATAAATTTGTGTTCCTCCATGATGCACACATGGTAATTGTTACAACAATAAATGAGCTGAGTTAAATTTGAATCAAATAGTGGAATTTCAAATTTGGTTTAAAATCTTATCAAATTTACTCGAGTCAAGTGACTCAAGTTATGAGATTTTGAATTCAATTGAACTGATTACAAGTTGAACTTAATAATTGTAGTCGAGACAAAATGTGAGTCTAAGGAGTTTGAGAGAAACTTCATAGAAATCACCTCTGTCTCTGTAATTGATCGGCAGGGGACACAAATAGTAATAATGGATATTGCGGAGATCGACTGAGATTTAGCGAGCAGGGTAGGTTTTTGATGTGACTGATAAAAGTTGAATGGTTGGTTTGACCACTGTTACGTCTTTGCTTTGAAGTAGTATAACCACTGCCTCTCTCCCTCGCACATTTATTACATTCCTCCTAGTTCCAATTGTCATTTTCACAAACTCAGTTCTGCTCTGCTTAATATACATATACAATCTGTACTCTACCGAGTTAATATTAACATACTTGAACGGAACATTTTTTGAGTAAAATTCTAAATAAATTTTTTGAAGTCTTTAAATCTCATGCTTTGTTGATAATTGCCTTTAAAGAAATGCTGCAAAGCTCTAAAGATGGAGATCATGCTATAGCAGTCCTTGGGCTAAAGTCTTTATTGGCTGTTTTCAAAGACATTATACCTGGGTAAAACATTTTAGTTTCCTTCCATAGTGCTCTGTGTGCAGTGTTCTATGAACTTATTATTATTATTTTTTTATTTTTTATTTTTAATTTTTTTTTCTGTTTTCATTACCATTCAAGTCTTTTGCTATTTTTTGAATGTGTGTTACAGCTATTGAATTAGGCTGCCCACTGAGAAGGAGCAGGAAATGGTTGTTTCAAAGGTTGTTAAGAAAATGCGGTACTATGAATCCACCCTCCTATCTACATACAAGGTTCGGCTTGGCACTTTGTGAATGGCTAATGGAAATGGAGTGTTGATGTTAATTTAAGCTTTGAACTCTAGCTATGGTATTTGCTTCCTTGTTTTGAAGTTTTTTCCGCATGTACATGTGCAGGGATACTTGCAGAGGTTGATAGCCTTAGAACAGCAGGCCTCATTTTGAGCGTGTGGCTATTCGTTGTATCTGTACTTTGCTAGATTCAGTTCCCCACTTCAACTATCGTGAGAGCTTGTTAGCTGCTGTTATTAAGAACATAAGTTCTGCGGATGATGTTGTAAGGTTTTGATATATCTTTATTCTTTATTTTTCATTTTCATAAATTTTCAGGCAGTTATTGAGGAAACATGCTGTGTAGCATTTTTTTTAAACATCTTTTAGTGTGTTAGCACCTTTACTAGCCTTCGGTTTAAGCTGGGGTGTATGAGAGTTCTGACACTGGTTTGAATATCGATCATGTATGTTTTCAGTAGGACCATCTTCCAACTATTGAAATTATGGTCCTCAAATTTGATATTTCGATCATTCATGATAGCGGTGAAATTGGCCTTTTTTCTTTTTTTTTTTCCCCCTTCATATGGTGTATCCTATGAGGTGGGGTGAGTGGGAATAAATGGGTTATGAATGTGATATGGGACCAAAATTTGTCCTTTTTCTCAGCTAAATAAGAGGATTCCACTTCAAAGGCGTGATAGTGGATGGTAAGATCCCAATCAGACATCTCAACTTCTGGAACCAAAATGTTCATGAACATTTGCAACTTCTGCCACTTCCACCTCCACCTTTACACTGTGTGTGCTTCTATCATTGGTATCAATGGTTTACTTCCATCACCTCCCCTTATTCCACGGTACTCTATTACCCGTGTCCACATGATTTTCCTCACCAACTTACAGTATCTATCTACCATAACGCTAGTTGAAACCACATTACAGCTTCCAAAGCCTGCATTGATATTGCCAGTGTAGCCATAACCCCATAATTGCTTGTGAGGATTTAATGCCTTTGCGGTTCCTCCAACAAAATTACCTCGCTTCAACTACACCTACAGTTGACTTGGTATTATTTTTTTCTCACATGCTGCAAAATATGTCTTGTGATTTCTACTTTCCTTTTTTATTTTTTTTTTTTTTTTTCTGTTTTCATTACCATTCAAGTCTTTTGCTATTTTTTGAATGTGTGTTTCAGCTATCGAACTAGGCTGCCCACTGAGAAGGAGCAGGAAATGGTTGTTTCAAAGGTTGTTAAGAAAATGCAGTACTATGAATCCACCCTCCTATCTACATACAAGGTTTGGCTTGGCACTTTGTGAATGGCTAATGGAAATGGAGTGTTGATGTTAGTTTAAGCTTTGAACTCTAGCTATGGTATTTGCTTCCTTGTTTTGAAGTTTTTTCCGTATGTACATGTGCAGGGATACTTGCAGAGGTTGATAGCCTTAGAACAGCAGGCCACATTTCAGCGTGTGGCTATTCGTTGTATCTGTACTTTGCTAGATTCAGTTCCCCACTTCAACTATCGTGAGAGCTTGTTAGCTGCTGTTATTAAGAACATAAGTTCTGCGGATGATGTTGTAAGGTTTTGATATATCTTTATTCTTTATTTTCCATTTTCATAAATTTTCAGGCAGTTATTGAGGAAACATGCTGTGTAGCATTTTTTTTAAACATCTTTTAGTGTGTTAGCACCTTTACTAGCCTTCGGTTTAAGCTGGGGTGTATGAGAGTTCTGACACTGGTTTGAATATCGATCATGTATGTTTTCAGTAGGACCATCTTCCAACTATTGAAATTATGGTCCTCAAATTTGATATTTCGATCATTCATGATGGCGGTGAAATTGGCCTTTTTTCTTCTTTTTTTTCCCCCTTCATATGGTGTATCCTATGAGGTGGGGTGAGTGGGAATAAATGGGGTATGAATGTGATATGGGACCAAAATTTGTCCTTTTTCTCAGCTAAATAAGAGGATTCCACTTTAAAGGCGTGATAGTGGATGGTAAGATCCCAATCAGACATCTCAACTTCTGGAACCAAAATGTTCATGAACATTTGCAACTTCTGCCACTTCCACCTCCACCTTTACACTGTGTGTGCTTCTATCATTGTTATCAATGGTTTACTTCCATCACCTCCCCTTATTCCACGGTACTCTATTACCCGTGTCCACATGATTTTCCTCACCAACTTACAGTATCTATCTACCATAACGCTAGTTGAAACCACATTACAGCTTCCAAAGCATGCATTGATATTGCCAGTGTAGCCATAACCCCATAATTGCTTGTGAGGATTTAATGCCTTTGCGGTTCCTCCAACAAAATTACCACGCTTCAACTACACCTACAGTTGACTTGGTATTATTTTTTTCTCACATGCTGCAAAATATGTCTTGTGATTTCTACTTTCCTTTTTTATTTTTTTTTATTTTAATTATATAAAAAGTAAAGGTTATTGTTCATTGACTTCCGGTTTGAAAACTAACTCAAAAAAATGCACTTTTCTCACACTTAAGATTGAAAATAGGCTATCGGGGGCCAAAATCGTGTAACAGTCACGAGAAGGCGTGGGGAACACTTCCAACACCTCGGGAGGGACCAATGTAATTTGTGAAAATTTACGGAAGTAGCATGGGACTTCCGGTTTGAAAACTAACTCAAAAAAATGCACTTTTCTCACACTTAAGATTGAAAATAGGCTATCGGGGGCCAAAATCGTGTAACAGTCACGAGAAGGCGTGGGGAACACTTCCAACACCTCGGGAGGGACCAATGTAATTTGTGAAAATTTACGGAAGTAGCATGGGACTTCCGGTTTGAAAACTAACTCAAAAAAATGCACTTTTCTCACACTTAAGATTGAAAATAGGCTATCGGGGGCCAAAATCGTGTAACAGTCACGAGAAGGCGTGGGGAACACTTCCAACACCTCGGGAGGGACCAATGTAATTTGTGAAAATTTACGGAAGTAGCATGGGACTTCCGGTTTGAAAACTAACTCAAAAAAATGCACTTTTCTCACACTTAAGATTGAAAATAGGCTATCGGGGGCCAAAATCGTGTAACAGTCACGAGAAGGCGTGGGGAACACTTCCAACACCTCGGGAGGGACCAATGTAATTTGTGAAAATTTACGGAAGTAGCATGGGACTTCCGGTTTGAAAACTAACTCAAAAAAATGCACTTTTCTCACACTTAAGATTGAAAATAGGCTATCGGGGGCCAAAATCGTGTAACAGTCACGAGAAGGCGTGGGGAACACTTCCAACACCTCGGGAGGGACCAATGTAATTTGTGAAAATTTACGGAAGTAGCATGGGACTTCCGGTTTGAAAACTAAGTTAAAAAATGCACTTTTCTAACACTTAAGCTTGAAAATGGGCCTTCGGGGGCCAAAATCGTGCAACAGTCACGAGACGGCCTGGGAAACACCTCAAACACCTCGGAATGGACCAATGTGAGTTGTGGAAACTTACAGAACTAGCACGGGACTCTTAGTTTGAAAACTAAGTCCAAAAATGCACTTTTTCATACTTAAGCTTCAAAAAATAGGCTTTCGGGGGCCAAAATTGTGCAACAGCCATGAGACGGCCCGGGAAACATCTCAAACACCTCGGGACGGACAAATGTGAGTTGTAGAAACTTATGAAACTAGCACGGGACTCTCGGTTTGAAAACTAAGTCAAACTAAGTCCAAAAATGCATTTTTTCACATTTAAGCTTGAAAATAGGCCTTCGGGAGCCAAAATTGTGCAACAGCCATGAGACGGCCCGGGAAACACCTCAAACACCTCGGTATGGACCAATGTGAGTTGTGAAAATTTACGGAACTAGCACGGGACTCCCGGTTTGAAACTAAGTCCAAAAATGCATTTTTTCACATTTAAGCTTGAAAATAGGCCTTCAGGAGCCAAAATTGTGCAACAGCCATGAGACGGCCCGGGAAACACCTCAAACACCTCGGGAAGGGCCATTGTGAGTTGTGGAAACTTACGAAACTAGCACGGGACTCCCGGTTTGAAACTAAGTCCAAAAATGCATTTTTTCACATTTAAGCTTGAAAATAGGCCTTCGGGGGCCAAAATCGTGCAACAGCCACGAGACGAC